CTGTGTTTCCTTTTGGACTTTCTTCTGTTTTCTTCCGTGCATTTAAAAAAATGCTTCAATGACCCTCTTTTCTTTGTTTTTGGCAATACTATTGCTATCCCCAACCTTATAATTACCCTCCAACCCCATAGGTAACCCTATAGCTACCTCCCAACTCCCCATACCAATTTGAAAACAACAACAAAACTCTTGTAACAAAAATGCATGATCAAGGGAAACAAATTTCCACACTGATGGGGTCGAAAAATGTATGTCTCATTCCGCACTTTGAATCCATTTCCTCTCTGTCTAGATGTTGGGGCAGTAGAAAAAGCTAATGTCACCTTAAGCTAAATTGAGCAAGGCATGAAGTCTAGCAATAGGAAGGTGATAAGATCAAGGTTAAAAGGTGAGGCTTTTGTTCTGGGCATTAAAAATATCTTTGTAAATCAAGTGTTGTAAACATTGATCCTCACTGATACCACATTTGAGACTGTCTCCTGTTTAATGTCTTTGTGGGCTATGCCTTTGAACTAGGTCTTTAAAAAACAGAGATGTAGAGAGAGAGGGAGACCCATAAACTTGAACTCATTTTCCTAGGGAAAAACCAATATACAAGGGGTAAAGGTTTTACAACCATCTGTGGGAGATAAAAAAAATGTATCCACAATATACTTTTTAAGTCTAATATGCTTTATTAAAATGTTCTCCATCACTTTCTTAAGTCTAGTATTACCAACAAAATAATAAATCCAATCTGGATGTGTAGCTTTTGCTGATTTTTGAGGATTCAGTGTGAATGCTCACACTGAAAATTTAACAGTTGGCTGGCTTCAGCACACAACTGCCTACATAAGTGTGAGGTCATCCAGGGAAACTTGTGGTTCCAGGAGAGGATGAACTAGATAACACCAAGCAACTGAGTCAAGCCTCCTGGAGGAAAAAAAAAAGATTTCCTAAATTATGGTGTATGCTGAGTTCCTACACCACTGAGGAGTACTGACAGAAAGGGCTCCAATAGGAGAAACAAACCTATTGTGGCTTAGTTGTTTTTCAGTTGCATCCAACTCTCCATGACGCCTTTTGGAGTCTTCTTGGTAAAGATACTGGAGTGGTTTGCCATTTCCTTCTCCTGCTCCTTTTACAGATGAGGAAACTGAGGTAAACAGGGCTAAGTGACTTGCCCAGGGTCACACAGCTAGTTAGTGTCTGAGGTCAGATTTGAACCCAGGAAGATGAGTCTTCCTGACTCCAGTCCCTGCGCTCTATGCATTGTGCCACCTAGCTGCCCAGGAAGAAACCTAAACTTTCCCTTTTATTAGTACTATGGACTATATATGGACTGCACAAATCTAGGGGAAATTGATTGACTTTAGCAACTCCAATTCTTTTTCCTTGTTGGTTCAGTATGGAGCCCACCTTCTTAGGGTAGCACTAACCTTACTATGGTCCAATCCTCATTTCTATTGTCCAATTAGTCAACAAACATTTTTTAAATGTGTTGGGTAGACAAAAGATAAACTCAAACTAATGCCTTGTACAAAGAGAGCATGAAAGTTCTTTGCCAATTTCTTTACCGAATTTTGTATGTTACACTTTTTCTATAAAATTCTTAAAGCACTACCTCCCAGTCTAGCAAACATCCAAAAAGACAATGATGTCCATATATCATGATTTGTTCTTGAAGCTAGCACTTTAAGGTTTATAAAGCACTTTACAAATATTTTTCTCATCTGATCCTCACAACAACCCTGGAAGGTAAGTTCTATCGTTCCCATTTTATAGTTGAGAGAACTGAGGTAGACAGAGATTGTCAAGTAGCTAGTTAAGTATCTGAGACTGGATTTGAACTCAGTTCTTCCTTACTCAAAGTTCAGCACTCATTCACTACACCATCTCACTACTAAAAGTCTGGGGGACCGTACAGGTCCTTAAGGGGATGGAAGGATGCCTTAGAACATTAGGTTCACTGGGCTGAAATCCATCAATTGATTACCATTTATTAAGCACACCCACTATGCACTAGGCCAGGGGTGGGGAACCTGTGGCCTCAAGGCCACATTGGCTGCAGATTCCTCATCCTGCACTAGGCCTTTTGCTAGACACCTGAGAGAAAAGGACAAAACCCTCAAGGAACTAGTATTCAACTGGGGAAAAACAGCACATACATTTATAAGTAAATGCAACATACAACCAAAGGAAGTACAAGGTAATTTCTGGGGAGATTGGGTGAAGACATTAGCAGCTGAGAGGATTGGGAAAGGACCCAGGTAGGAGGCATAACTTGGAGCTGAGCTTGGAAATATATTTATTAGTAGTAATAACAATAACAATAATAGCAATAGCTCTGATTTATATAACACTTCTCAGTTTACAAAGTATTTTCTGTACAATAACCCTGTTGGATATGTAGTAGAAGAATTCTTTTCATTTTATAGCTGAGAGATGTAGCATTGATTATTCATTGGAAGGAGTACCAGACTTGGAGTCATGGGATCTGGGTTTAAATCCTGATTCTAATACTTAACAGCAAGTCGTTTAGCATCTCAGCCTCAGTCTTATCTTCTGTAAAATAGGTTAAAAATACTTTCATGACCTTCCTCATCTGGTACTGCTGAAGAGCTGGTTTCCAAACTTTAGATTCCTATATGAATGTGAGAAACTATTATTAACATTCAGTTATTTACCCAAGGTCACAAGGCTAGTATGTGTGAGAGCCAGGATTAGAACCCAAGTTCTGTTACTTAAAGTACACTGCTCATTCCACTTTGCTAGGATTGGTTTGTCACATGTATGTGTCCCCCTCTTCTTCCTCTCCTGCCACCTACAATGTAAGGCTCTGGAGAGTAAGGGCTCTCTTTTATATTCATTCTTCTTTGTATCTCCAGGAGTCTGGCAAATAGGAAGAACTTACATTTGTCAGGTGAATGAGTAGTTGATATACTACCTCTATCAGTTATCTCAGGGCTGCTCAGAAGTATGGAATTAAATGGCAATGGAAAATATGACAGTCTGCTATTTACTATATGTAGTGTCATTTTTCTTCTCCTTTTATTTTAAAGACCCACTAGATGGCTATCCTTATATATGCCTAGAGTCTCTACCAATATGTCAAAGCTCTACAGATAAAATTCCGTTACAAATAAGCAAGAACTACTTATCACAATTATTTCTATGGCTAGATTAACAATAGAAACAATGCTAACATATTTACAGCAAATTCTGTTTAGGAAACACTTTGGAATTCATACTCAGGAATCAAGGTTGCTTGGAATGGTAGCCCTGCCAATGAAATTAACTCAATCAAATTCAACAAGCTTTTATTAATCACCTGCTAGGTATAAGTTAATACAAAATATATGTAAGTAAATCCAAATCATTCCAAAGATAGAGAAGAGCAACTCAACTGGGAAAAATGGATGGTCCTCACACAGGAAGTGGGGTTTGAGCTGAGCCTTGAAGGAAGTGGGGGATCCCAAGAAGCTAAGGTAAGGAAAGAGGGCATTCCAGACATGGCTGACAGCCTGAGCATAGATGGAGCTATGGAGGGAGGAAGGCTTATTCTCTAGCGATCCCAAATGATTTGCCCTATCAAGCAGCGGCTGAACTCTAGAATAGTTTTGTGGAAATGGAAAAAGGCAAGCCCACCAGAAAGGAAAGGAGAGTTGTTCTGGACCAGTGTACAAGCTCTAGTGTGAATCTTGTGTGGCTTGTGGCTGTCTGTGAGTTTTAATGAAGCCTATCAATGTATTGTGAACCTGTGTGCTTGCAAGGGAATTGAGGGCCCTTTTACCTTTTCTGTGGAGAAGGAGATGAGCTACTTGCTGGTGTCCTCAGGAGAAACCCACAGTGGAGGCAAAACAAGGTAAATTCTGATGTTCTCGGGTTGGGAACACAAGCTGAAAAGTGATTTTTAAGAAGCCCTAATATTGACCTAGGTGCAAATAAACCCAGAGCAGATCAAAGTTGGAATCACTAGGGATGTAACAGAATGCTGTGTTATACCTTAAAATGAAGACCTATGCAAATATTGCATAGAGAGATTGATAGATGATAGTTTGTGTGTGTGTGTGTGTGTGTGTGTAGACAGAAAGAGAGATACGGTGGCAGGGGAGGAAGAGGGAGAGGAAGGAGAGAGATGGGAGGGAGGGAGGAAGGAGGAGAGAAAGAGAGAGAGAAAGGGGGGGGGGCTCCAGGGGGACTAGGGTGCCACCTTTGTGGGCGATAGGGGGGGGGGTCTTTAGGAGTCCGAGGGGGTGGGGGGGGGGGGGTTTCAGGGCAGTCAGAATCCAGAGGATAGACACTCACTACCAACTCCCCTTCAATTTTCCAGGCAGGAAATGTGTCTATTACACATAAGATACTTGCAGTGTAAGAGTTTGATTTCCTTTGGGAGGTATTTCATGACTTGCAGCCATGCAGCATCACTAGAAAAATATCACTAACAAGCCTTTTTTTCAGGGAGTAGATTGGGGGCAGTCATCAAAAGTACTATACAATTTGCCAGTTCACCATCAACAGTGCCACCTTTAAATTCAGAGTCAGCCGCACAAAGAGGCTGAGTAGACAGATACTCACTAATGTGATTTGCAAGATACCAATCAGTCCCTACCATCCCATCCTTCAGGAGAAATTCATTCTTCATTTCTTTATCCTTAAAGACTTTTCAGTGTTCAAGTGTCTCCAATTAATTGAAAATGCCCCCTAGGAGAGATAAACCTTAAGCCAAGTTTTCCTCAAGTAATTTGGCAACAAAACACTAGGATTTGAAATATATTACTAGAATCTACAAATGTTGGTCCAGGTACCTGGAGATCATGGAGATCCCCAAGGATTAAGAGTGTTACCATAATAAAGAAGACAAATACCATTAGCCAGTAGCCCTAATGAGGACACGAGAACACCAGTCTGACTACATCTACAGGCAACAGAAAAAAAAAAAAGGAAAAGTAGAATTCTTGAACAGCGTTATGACTGGCCTAACATAATGATGCTTAGGAGCTGTTTGTTCTAGCAGGAGGGAAAGTAAAATTATTTAGTATTTCCTGTGTTGTTTGTTTGCATCATGGTGTCCTTGGATGTCCCTTGAGTGTCAGGCTGTTCTCTTCTTCCTATTCGATTCTGTGACCAATTCGTTGTGTCTCAAAGGATCTGTCCCATCTCTATGTACTAACACAATGGATTGACCTTCTAATTGCGCATCAGCAGGCGTTTTTCATCTCTGGACCTGGATAATAGCTGCTTCCTTCCACCATGGAGGCATGGGCATGGGATCCAGTGCAAATTAAAACTCATATAACTGGTGCTTTTCTGTCTGTTCTCCTGAGACTGGAAGGGAACTCCAGGTGCTTCTTAACATAGCTGGTTTATCACTCATGGATCAAGTGATGTGAACTGAGTGTCAGGCTATGGTAAGAAGCGGCCTTCCATCTCCATTTCACCTTCCTGACTCTCCTCTCTCACCTTGAGTACTTGAGTCTATGTTTCTTCTAGCTGAGACATTTTCATTCCCCTCTCAGTCTTCAAAGCCTTGACTTTGTCCACATCACCTTCTCCACCTGCTGTTGTCTCATGACTTATTTCATACTTCTTTTCTTTCTCTTTAAATCAGCAGCAGGACTTGACCACTCTCTCCCACTCCCCTGGCTTGATAGCTCTGTAGAGAGGATGTTGCCCGAAACACAGTCTCTGGCCTCAAGAAACACACGATTCGACTTTTTAAACGCCTGTAGAGTACGTCTCTATTTAGTGAGAGATGCTAAATCTGCAGGGGAAAAAAAGTCTTGTATAGTGGGACAAACAAAGGCAAAGAAAAGCTCAAGTTCCCATGAAATTTACATATTTTGCCCAGAGAGGTAAGATCAACTCCAAACTGGAAAAATTCCTGAGTAAAATACTCTGCAATGTTAACACTATAATGGAGCTATAATCTCATTGATGGTGATATTTCATCTGACAATGTCAATCATTACTCATTCATGCCCATCCTGAGTCTCTTGTTCATGTCATTCCTGTGTGTGTGTGTGTGTGTGTGTGTGTGTGTGTGTGTGTGTGTGT